CGTATATAACCCCCCCCCCCTTGTATAAGCACATCAAAAATCGCTTACGAAAGTATATAATAAGCCCAGGGCTTATAGTCGGAGGTTTACGGTATAAGATCCCCTTGGCAAATTAGATAAAAATTTCTGGCGTTAGCCAGAATAAAACAATAAAATAAAGTATATTTGGGAACATGGCAGCTTAATGGTTAAAGAGTTGGCAAAAATATTCATGAAACACCAGCTCAGGTCCAGCTGCGTAGTGTATAGACTGTATACTGTATCTCATCTCACAGACAGTATTAATTAATAGAATAAATTCCATCGTTCAGTAATCAATATAAAACATTACCGTTTCGGTTTGCCATTGAAATTTAATGAATAAAATATTGTTGGTCTGTGTTGTTGTGCGTAATTTAAATAGAATGCACAAAATCTTGCATTCCTATATGTATATGATATAGTAGACTTTCGCAAAGTCCCTCGCCTTTAATACGTCCTTATTTATGCGAATGAATTTTTGAAAGTAATATGATATGCGCGGCGCAGCGGGAGAGGAGGCGAGGGACTTTTCAAACTTGCAGCGCGCCATATTTTTCCGACCCAAAAACAGGTCGGTAACACTGATCTATATACAATATGTGTTCGTATTGTTGATTAAACTCTTGAACCAATCAGAGTAACGTGATAAAACAACATGTCAATCAAAGTGCCTATAGTGTGAAATATTAAATTTCATCTCATAAATAAACTGGCCAGCATCCAGAAATCAAATAGACAGGAAATACATATAAACGATACGACTGTCGTAGCACACACAGAATTAAAAAGTATTATTAAATGGAGAAGTCAATTTCACAAGCGATCGAAAATGCTAGGCAGTCAGCTGGGTACTCGAAATTGAAAGAATATCAACGGCAGACAATTGAAGCCTATTTATCTGGTACGCACGTCAAATTATAGACTTGCTCCAAGTCGACCTCCAGGGACACGCGCGAGAAAAGAACGAACGCGAGCGAGCGAGCGCGAGCGACGAAGTCGCGAGCGCGAGGGAGGTCGACTTGTCAAACTTGCAGGATTTCCATTTGCATTTCGCGCCAAAACTGTCGAATAAATTTAGCTATTGATTGACACGAGGCGGAGTTTGTTAATAATTTGACGTGCGTACCAGATAAATAGGCTTCAATTGTCTGCCGTTGATATTCTTTCAATTTCGAGTACCCAGCTGACTGCCTAGCATTTTCGATCGCTTGTGAAATTGACTTCTCCATTTAATAATACTTTTTAATTCTGTGTGTACTACGACAGTCGTATCGATTTATATGTATTTCCTGTCTATTTGATTTCTGGATGCTGGCCAGTTTATTTATGAGATGAAATTTAATATTTCACACTATAGGCACTTTGATTGACATGTTGTTTTATCACGTTACTCTGATTGGTTCAAGAGTTTAATCAACAATACGAACACATATTGTATATAGATCAGTGTTACCGACCTGTTTTTGGGTCGGAAAAATATTGGCGCGCTGCAAGTTTGAAAAGTCCCTCGCCTCCTCTCCCGCTGCGCCGCGCATATCATATTACTTTCAAAAATTCATTCGCATAAATAAGGACGTATTAAAGGCGAGGGACTTTGCGAAAGTCTAGTCAAATTATTAACAAACTCCGCCTCGTGTCAATCAATAGCTAAATTTATTCGACAGTTTTGGCGCGAAATGCAAATGGAAATCCTGCAAGTTTGACAAGTCGACCTCCCTCGCGCTCGCGACTTCGTCGCTCGCGCTCGCTCGCTCGCGTTCGTTCTTTTCTCGCGCGTGTCCCTGGAGGTCGACTTGGAGCAAGTCTAATGATATAGTTGAGGTTGGGCATTTAACAGCCATTTCCCGATTTTCCACCTCAGGTTCTAAAATACTTGTCTTTATAATTGAAATGAAAGCAGTAAACGCAAGATAAATCCGACAAAACTACAGTACTTGTAAATCCTAACGCGCGCAAGTTTTCTTAACGAGACTGCAATGGCAATGAGAATAGCCTCAGCATAATGGCGGTCGTATTATAAATACGACAATCGCAGACAACAATCATTATAATTCTCGCATTATTATAATAACTCACCTTATTCCTTTCGACGTTTTTATCACATCTTTGAAGTTACAGGCGAACTAATTCTAAAGCATTGACGCTGTCTGTGAACCACACGTTTTGAATTTTGCATTGGCGGCCAGACCTTTGTCATTCAAATACAAACAGCAACCTTGCTCGCTTCTTCCTCACACTGTTTTAAAGCCATCTTTATGCTTGAAATATGAATATACTAAAGCCATTTTAATCAGTTTGTATCGCTTCCATCGCACTGACACTTAGAAGCAATCCTAATAGAACCCTCGCACCACAATAGCAGATATATTCCCATACAAACGACCACAAACTATAATGCCAGTATTGATGTGAGAAGAAGGTATTAGATTTCACGGCGGCGCTATCCTCATTGGTTGAAAGCTCGATCATGCGGCGCGCGAATATTCAAATATTTCGGCCTCATTGTGTGTTATCTTCATATTGTGTTACTGCTGCTGCAAATTATAGCGTGTTATAATATTTGAAATGCGAAATTTTGAGGCCCAATTTTGCCAGTTTCCAATCTGTATGATGAAATGCACAAACATACATGACACATGCATGTGACATGGGAACTATTTCTGTTAATTTATTATTATGTCTAGTTATTAACTTCTGAATTGTCAATTCAAATGTTTCATTTGTGAAATGGTTTATAATTTGCCAGTAAATTAATATGCGGCTGTTTCATGCTACCAGTAAATAAATATATTCGGATAAATATTTGCCAATTAATTAATTTGGCGAAATACCTGTAATCGGCCAGCCCTAGCCTGTGACGGTAGACCAGGCTCAAAACGTGTGTTTATAGATCGTGTTATACTGTAAAAGTGTTTTATGTTATTCTAACAGCACAAACAGTTTTAACACCACCAAAAAGGTGCTATTTTAACACCCGTGCTGCGTGCTAATTTAACACCACCAAAAAGGTGCATGCATGTGACATGGGAACTATTTCTGTTAATTTATTATTATGTCTAGTTATTAACTTCTGAATTGTCAATTCAAATGTTTCATTTGTGAAATGGTTTATAATTTGCCAGTAAATTAATATGCGGCTGTTTCATGCTACCAGTAAATAAATATATTCGGATAAATATTTGCCAATTAATTAATTTGGCGAAATACCTGTAATCGGCCAGCCCTAGCTTGTGACGGTAGACCAGGCTCAAAACGTGTGTTTATAGATCGTGTTATACTGTAAAAGTGTTTTATGTTATTCTAACAGCACAAACAGTTTTAACACCACCAAAAAGGTGCTATTTTAACACTCGTGCTGCGTGCTAATTTAACACCACCAAAAAGGTGTTATTTTAACACCTATGTTCTCACTCCACAAACAGTGCTAATTTAACACTGGGGAATACAAATTCTTAACACTATTTATGGTGTTATTTTAACACCAAGAATTTAGCACCAGAAACCGGTGTTATTTTAACACCACCTGTCCTTAAGTGGGTGTTATTTTAACACCTCTAAAGTGGTGTTAAACAATTTGAGTGCTAAATTAACACTTTGCAAAATATTTTTATTTATGTCGTGTTAAATTAGCACCGAAAAAGGGTGCTAAAATAACACCTTTGTTTAACACGACCAGTTGGTGTTAATCTAACACTACCAGAGGTGTTATTTTAACACCCTGAAATTAACAGTGTGGGGTGGCCGAACGGAGGATAAAAGTGGCATGGAACGAGAAGGGGATTAGATTGGGGGAACTTAATATTATTCATCGCTATCAGAAATGCAAATTTAATTAAGGCTATTATATATCGAATATTCACGATTCCCCGTTGCGTTGTTTGAAACAATTGCTGCGGGTGGTCAAGCGTTTGAACAAAATGATGGGGATTTTGCCAGTGAAATCTTTCCCAGAACACAGAAAATGTTATTTACGCGACTCTATTCGACTCATTTCGAATGTAGTACTATATATATACATCATCACATCAAACAAAATAAAACAAAACGCTGTAAATTATGCTTGCACGAAAAGTTCGTTATAATTTACTATCCCAAACTAAGCTCATTGAACTCAAGAAACGAACTAATATCGGCATGTAGGCACAGAAAAAAATTCCTGCTCTGTAGTCAGTAGTCAGATTACAAACATGTATTTACGCTTTCCTAATGACGTAAAACATTTGTATATAACAGCTCAAATTACCTATATCGCGATATCACCATTTACCTGATGAGTGTGGCAAGCTTAGTTTGCCATACGAAACAAATTTGTCGTGAATAAATGTCTTAAACGAAGTAACTCAAGTTTGTCTTTTATTTGCTCTACTTTTGTATCGAGCACTCTATTCTTATGATTCGACACTCAATCTACTTATTGACATTCGCATATATATATATATATATATATATATATATATATATATATATATATATATATATATATATATATATATATATATATATATATTATTAAGATGTAGAAAGGTTGGCGCTGGTTTGATAAAAACATTAAAAACTACGTTTTTTTAAAAAGATGTTAAGACTTTTTTTCCAGTAACTTAGGTCTTCGTCAGTTAAAAATTAACTAGGTTCAAAACTTGAGAGACAACGGTTACCCACTTAAGTTTATAAAGTCTTACGACATCAAGAGAAAACGGCGTCATACTGATAACACCAACGGTAATTTGCATACCACTGATGTCAACAACAACAGGACAAACACCGCTGATTGTGTCGCTCTTAGCTTTGTAGTCTTACCGTATGTTAAAGGCGTTACAGAAAAAATCTCCCGAGTATTAAGGAGAGAAAATATCAAAGTGTGCTAAAAACCTACCAGTATACCCTTTCTCGCCAATTCTCCAAACCCAAAGACAAGTTACCACCCGAGCAGACAAGCGGAGTCATTCACAAAATCTGTTGCTGCGATTGTGACTTTGCATATTACGGTCAAATAGACAGAGCATTAAAAACTAGAATAAACGAACACGAACGAGCTGTTTCGCAATTTGAACAATATTCAAAAATCGCTAAGCATCCTGAACAATACGATCACCGAATTGACTTCAGTAATGCCACCATTGTCAACAAAACAAAAAACTACCGCGAACGTCTGTTCTTAGAGGCTTGGTATTCCCTCAAGGATCATAACGCAGGAAACGACCATATCGAAATACCGGATGTGTATAAAACACTTATCTGCTAATTAACTCTGAACCTATATATATTGTTCAGTTTTGAACCTAGTTAACTTTTTAACTGACGAAGACCTA